TCAATCAAATGATTTCTGAAATTTAATAATAATAATAATAATAATAATAATAATAATAATAATAATAATAATAATAATAATAATAATAATGATAAAATGCCCATGTATGACATTTAATTTTAGATTATTAATATAGAGATGGTTTTGAAAAAAGTAATGCAAATATGCAATGCTATATTGGCAACAGGCAAAGTTGGCCCATTTTCTTTATAAATAAAAACAGCGTGGGCGACCTCATGAGCACTCTTTTTATGCTTTTGCACGTCTGGGAAGTTGATTGATATTAACAAGTTGGAAAATAAATAAATAAATAAATAAATTGGTTTATAAAAGTATATCTAATCAATTATATTTGCATATTTTGTTACTATATAATAATTAGGGAAATAATAACACATAGTTGCATGAAATGCTTTTGAATTAATTACACAAAATCGTGCCTGCAATTTGTAAAATAGAAACACAAGTCAAACGGCAAAAAATTGTACTTTCGGTGGACAATTGGCAATTTCAAAGTTTTTTTTTTTTTTTTTTAAGATGTATTTGTAATAATAATGCTCTCCTACCGGCACATTTAATATACTCACCGCTTAAGTGGCATGCATACATTGGTGATGTTAATATGTTCAAAAAATACATCACCAATGTGTGCATGCCACATAAACGGTAAACATATTAACATGTATCCACCGTACGGGTAGGGGAGTGTTACTGGTATTTGTAATTCTAGAAAAACAACTGAGATTTCCTTAATAATTAGGCTATAAGCGTGATTGTGATTGCGTCCAAAGAGTGTTTTGTCTTTGTTTCTTGCTACAATTTTGGAGCTGACTTAATTGTGCTATTAATTTTTTTAGAATATTTCCTTAATAATTAGGATGGATGAAAATTTCTCGTTTATCTAATTGTACTGCGTGTAGTTTATATGAAAAATTGATTTGGGAAAAGTATATAACTATCCCTCCTTAAAAGATTGTTGGCAATATTGATTGCCATGCAGCAATAGCATGAGCCTTGACTGCCATGCAGCAAGAAATGCCACGTCAGACTCTGGGCCAAATATCTTGCCTAATAATCAGAGGATGTCACGTGCCACTCACACTGTTGTTGAGGCTGGTACAAGAATCAACAAAAGTAATACCCAAGTTGGTTATAATGACTCATGCAATAAGACAAATAACATAGCTTATTCTTATCCTATAATGTGTGGCCGAGATTTGATGTAGCTAAGTTATAATATTTGGAAGATTCCTTAGCAACATAGATATAAATAGTCCCTCTTGTAGCAGCCGCAATGTACTCTTTAATGATTGAATGAATCATCCTAGTTTTCTGTGAAAATGAAAAGAAAGGAAAAAATGCAAACTTGGTTCTTCATGTTCATCGTTTTTCTGTCAAAATTTCATCATGGTATCAGAGCATGTCCATGATTGAGTATCTCAACAAGGTAAAAGTCTGCTGTGATGGTTTGGCTGTTGCTGGGCAAAGAATCTCTGAGGATATGCAGGTCATATCTTACCTGGGCTTGGAAGTGAATACAACCTTGTTATGGTTTCAGTTGGAGCAAGACTTGAGCCCTACAGATTAAGGGAACTACATGCTCTATTGCTGAGTTTTGAGAGTAGATTGGAAACTTTTGAAAATCCTCAGTTTGGCCTTGATGGGTTTAACCCTAATGCTAATTTCTCAGCTATTGGAAACTCCTCCAAGAGAGGTGGCTACAGTAATAGGGGCAGAGGCAGCTTCAACTTCTATACCAACAGAGATGGAAGATCATGAGGTAGAGGAAATGGCTCCTTCAGAGGTAGAGGTGGTGGAAGGTTAGGTGGCAGAGCTAGATGCCAAATTTGCCACTTACAAAGCCACACTGCAGAAAAGTGTTGGTATAGGGTTGATTTGAACTATGTCCCTAACAGCTCAATGAGTGGAAATCCCAATTCTCAAGGCTATGGAAGTGAGCAAGGGTCAACAATGGCTAATGTTGCAAGTGTAGGCCCAAGTGAGGATGGTTCTCATGCCTACTAGTATCCAGACTCAGGAGCCACCAATCACATTACTCATGACCTCAGCAATCTGAGTATGGCCTCAGATTTTGCTGAAAATGAGAGAGTTCTCATGGGAAATGGAGTTGGCTTGGACATCACACATCTTGGTAATGCATTAATGAGAGGAACACCTGCTAATAATCATACTTTTCTGCTTAAAAACTTATTACATGTGCCTGATATAACCAAGAACTTGTTAAGTGTGTCTCAGTTTGCTCAAGATAACTCAGTGTTCTTTGAATTTCATCCTCAATACTGTCTTGTGAATGATCAGGGAACAGGAATCACACTATTGAGAGGGGAACTTAAAGGAGGATTATACTATTTCAAATTGAAGTGCAGCAAGTTTGATGAAGTTGAAGGGAGTACTAAAGGAAAGTCAACAAGAATTGAAAGACCAGTTATTTCTTACTCTAGTGTTGTTTCTGAAAATTCTACTTTAAGTTTATGGCACAGTAGGCTTGGCCATGCAGCCAATGATGTAATCAAGAAGGTCTTGGTCAGTTTGGAACCACCTCTTGAATTTAATAAGGAAATTGAACAATGTTCTGCTTGTTTGCAATCTAAAAGTCATAGACTACATTTTCATGATTCTAATTCTTCATATACTGCTGTTTTTCAATTAGTTTACACTGATCTTTGGGGCCCCTCTCCTATAAGGTCTCAGAATGGTTTTTATTATTATATGAGCATGGTTGATCACTTCACTAGATTCACTTGGATTTATCTTCTAAAAGCCAGAACAGATGTCCCAGCAGCCTTTCTACATTTTAAAAAGTTGGTGGAAAATCAGTTTAATTCCACCATCAAGGCTATTCAAAGTGATGGAGGGACAGAGTTCAAACCACTCAACAAATTTTTTTCAGAAAATGGGATTATCCACAGATTATCTTGTCCTTATACACCACAGCAAAATGGCTTAGTGGAAAGAAAGCACAGGCATATAGTGGAAACAGGTTTGGCCTTGATGTCTAATGCAGGAGTTCCCTTGAGATTTTGGGATGAAGCATTTACCTCAACTATATACTTGATCAACAGGCTACCTGCCAAGGTGCTAAGTTATAAATCACCTTTTGAAAGCTTAAGTGGGCAAAAACCTGATTACAACTCTCTCAAGGTTTTGGGGTGTTTATGCTTTCCCTACCTAAGGCCTCTCAACAAGCACAAGTTAGAGCCAAGGAGTCTACCCAGCATCTTCATTGGATACAGCCCACAACACAAAGGATACAAGATGCTACTGCCTAATAAGAGGATGCTGGTGACAAGACATGTTGTTTTTAATGAAAGAAAATTTCCCTTCTTAGACAAGGCACTTTTGGAAGGAAAGACACCTGAGGACATACATTTGTTTTCTCCTCCTCTCTTGATGGTGCAACCACAAAGTGCACCCACTACTATAGCTCACCACAGTGATTCTTCTTCTCAAACTACTGCAAACCAGTCCAGCAGTCAAGGAGCTAATGTGTCCTCTCATCAACCAACTAGATCACCAACCCCTGACAGTGACTCAAACCTTCACTCTCCAACAATTCAGGTAGGAATAATCACTATAGATCTTCCCATTGGAAGTCCTAGTGGACCTCACCTTGACAGCACACAAGGCCAGCCACCACAGCACACAACTGGAACAACATCTACTCATCCTATGGTGACTAGAGGAAAAGCTGACATCAGAAAACCTAAGCCTTTGTCTCAACCACCTATGTCAATGCAGAACCCAAGAATCTTTCTGAGGCCTTGCAATCCAAGGATTAGACTCAGACCATGAACCAAGAGTACAATGCTCTTATATCCAACAATACTTGGAACCTTGTAACTCTACCAGAAGGAAGAAATACAGTTGGCTGCAAATGGGTATATAAATTGAAAAGAGATGCTCTTAGCAAGATGGTTAGACATAAGGCTCGGTTAGTTGCCAAGGGTTTCACACAACTGCCAGGTCTTGACTATGGAGACACCTTTAGTCCAGTTGTAAGGCCTGCAACTATCAGATTGCTTCTGTCCATAGCAATCACCAATTCTTGGTTCATGAGACATCTTGATGTGGATAATGCCTTACTCAATGGAGAACTTGATGTTGATATCTACATGGATCAGCCACCTGGTCTTGAGAGAACCTCATCAACAGGACTTCCTCTAGTTTGCAAGCTCAACAATACTATCTATGGACTGAAACAAGCATCAAGGGCTTTGAACTTGAAACTTACTGCAGCTCTTAAGTCTATGAACTTTGTAGCCTCAAAGTCAGATCCTTTCTTATTTTTTAAGAGTAACCATCATTCAACCACCTTTCTTTTGGTTTATGTTGATGATATCATAATTACAGGATCTAGCAAGGATGAGGTGCAACACACAATCTCAGAGTTTCAAAAGTTCTTTTCTATCAAGGACTTGGGCAAACTAACTCATTTTCTGAGTATAGAAGTTTCATATAATGACCAAGGTCTTGTATTGAGTCAAAGCCAATATATCTATGAGATTCTGTGTAGTCTCAAAATGGAGGAAGCAAAAGGAGTCAGCTCACCTATGATCTCTCATCCTTTGTTGTCCAAACATGATGGTCAACCATTTGACAATCCAACCTTGTTTAGAAGTGTTGTTGGTGCCCTTCAATACACCACCATTAGCAAGCCTGAAATTTCTTACAGTGTCAACAAGATCAACCAATACATGCATGCTCCCTTACATACTCATTGGAAGGCATTGAAAAGAATTCTTAGATACCTTGCTGGAACAATTCACTATAGTTTATAATTCAAGAAAGGACCTCTTCAGCTCACTGGCTTTGCTGATGCAGATTGGGCCGCTGACCTTGATGACCGCAGTTCCACTAGTGGTACTTGTGTATTTTTAAGTCCTAACCTCATTACTTGGAGTGCAAAAAATCAAACAACCGTTTCTAGGTCAAGTACTGAAGCAGAATTCAGGAGCTTGGCTGCAGTTACATGTGATGTCATTTGGCTAAGAGGTCTTCTAGCTGAACTTGGTTTTCCTCTACAAAAATCTACCACAGTTCGGGTTGACAACTTGGGAGCTTGCCATCTCTCTGAGAATCCTGTGTTTCACTCCAAGACAAAGCATGCTGGAATTGATTTCCATTTTGTCAGGGAGCATATTACCTCTCACACCATTACAGTTCAGCACATTCCCTCCATTGAGCAAGTTGCCGACATTTTCACTAAACCTTTATCAGGGCAATTCTTTACTCGTCTTCGATCAAAATTGGGAGTTTGTCTCAAAGCCGAGCACGAATTGAGGGGGGCTGTTGGCAATATTGACTGCCATGCAGCAACAGTTGACTTCTATGCAATGAGCCTTGACTGCCATGCAGCAAGAAATGCCACGTCAGACTCCGGGCCAAATATCTTGCCTAACAATCAGAGAATATCACGTGCCACTCACACTGTTGTTGAGACTGGTACAAGAATCAACAAAAGCAATACCCAAGTTGGTTATAATGACTCATGCAAGAAGACAAATAACATAGCCTATTCTTATCCTATAATGTGTGGCTGAGATTTGATGTAGCTAGGTTATAATATTTGGGAGATTTTTTAGCAACATAGATATAAATAGTCCCTCTTGTAGCAGCCGCAATGTACTCTTTAATGATTGAATGAATCATCCTAGTTTTCTGTGAAAATGAAAAGAAAGGAAAAAATGCAAACCTTGTTCTTCATGTTCATCGTTTTTCTGTCAAAATTTCATCAAAGATGCATTCCATCAAAACAATGGGATGCATGTAATCAATGTTTTAAATACCGTACCGGTGGGTATACCGGTCTAGCCACCGGTATGCGGTATTACCGGTAGGACCGATAATACCAGTGGTATTACCGGTCTACTAACAAATAATATTATATATTTATATAAGATATCATATTGAAAAAATATAAAAAATTGAGTGATGCTAAAGAGTGAAAATGTACATTTATTAGTGCCAACCTTAGGTATACTTTCAGTTTTGGCCTTTTTTTTTTTAAAAAAAAAAAAAGGAAATATCACGTTTTTATGCGTGTATGCCAGCAGTTTTTTTTTTTAATTTTTTTTCTATTTTTTTCAGACGGGTATTTAAGACCGATATTTGGCGGTATATACGGTATGATACCAGTACAACACGGTATTATCAGAAATCCAGTATTTTGAGTGTTTTTGTACCGTACCTATGACAGGTATCCGGTAATATCGATATTACTGGCCGGTACGGTACGGTTTTTAAATCACTGCATGGAATTCCATAAATGCTTTAAATGTTCTCAATTATAGTGAAACCGTCACAAAACAAAGATAAAAATTATTTCGTTTTCCCGCTTCATATTCCCGCTTTTTTCATTTTCTTACTTTATTCGGTAAAGTTTTTTGAATTTTTTTCATAATCCCGCCTTCATTTTCTTACTTTATTTGATTTTTTTTTTTTTTT